GTTCATGTCCATAATCAAGGCAATAAAGACACTAGGATGTAAGGGTTAGAGAATATGAGAAAAATATACTATTAAGGAGAGAAAACAATAAAAGAACTAGAATTTAGATGGTAGAAGATAACGATTTACATTGATCTTCAAAAATTTAAAAGCAAAGATGACAAGGAAGCAAGAAGCTGGAAGAGAGTTCCCCAAGTGAGGATTCAATAGAAGAAACTATTAGTATAGAGCTTATGGCTATATCTATCTATTTTAACTATCAAATGATGAGACCGTGTCACCAATTTAGTACTTCACTTATATTCATAAAGTCTAGATACCATGTGATCAAGGTACCAAAGGGAAAATGTTCATTAGAGTAATTACCATGAAAGTATTTATAGAAAAGGCACAGGGAAGCTACATTACGACAGTGGAAAAGTGACTGAAGCCAAGATGTCAGGTCAGGACCAATAACATTGCAGATTCTTCTTTGGATTTTATCAAGAATCTCTAAATATATAGCAGGATTACCAGATCAGATGTATGTATATGTGCATATATATTTTATTATAATAATAAAAAAATAATAAATAAAATAAAAATTTAAATTAATAAATAAAAAAATAAAAACACAATCTTTTCATGCGGCCTCATTCCCAATAGCTGTTACACATGACATCACGCTAGACCATTTGAAACGTCCAGCTTCCCAAAGAATAAACGGATGCAAACAAAGAAATTCTAACTACCACACAGACACTATATTGGTTCTTGATAATAACTGTAAAAGCAAAAAGTACTTAAACAAAAATAACAAAATATGAACTTTGGAGTGTTTATCCCTAGTTTCAAAGTCATTATTCAATACCTTATCCAAAAATTGGAAAAATACAATTAAAATTTAAACAGACAGACCTTGTTGATTCTTTTTAATCAAACTTGTTTAGCTATCTATATTATATTTTTATTATAAGAGATTATAATAAAAACATTTTGAAATCTCAATACAAAAGCTTTCATGTTTCAATACTATGATTGAATCACCAGTTACTTCCCATCGCCTGAAGAAATACAAACATAGTATTGAAACATGAAAGCTATTGTGTAGTGATTTCATAATGTTTTTATTATAATTTCTTATAATAAAAATATAATAATAATATATTGCTCTACTTTGTATTGAGCACCTTTTTAAAAGTAAATGCTACAAACTGGATTTTTACTCTATCTGTTCTTTTTTCATTTGTTATATACTATTATATATATATATATATATATATATATATATATATATATGGTATTGCTGATAAATATTTTTTAAATATGTTTCAGTATGTTAGATAGAGAGGAGCCTGCAGCATCTACTGAGGAATATCTTAAATCATATTAAAGGTTTACTGCATTTATCACTGATTTTATCTTATTGTGGTGACAGATGCAACAAATATTCCCTTCATAGAGATTTGCTCGGAAAAAACTGAGTGTAAAGGTTTTTATTTTATTAACTTATTCTTGTATAATAATAATTTTTTTTTTATTAATGTGCATATTTAAATATTTCTCTTTCCTGATTTTGCCAAGAAGTAAGGTTTTGAGATTCTTTCTTCAAATAAGATCAATAAAATAATAATCTAATCATTATTATATAGAATTTTTCCCCAATCCTATTTTAATAAACACATAAGGTTCATTATCATTTTTTTTTTCATTTGTTTGTGAGATCATCTGTAAAATTCTTTTTCTCTTGAATCCTAAGATTCCTGTATTGTGGGACCAACACAGGTGGTACATGACTGACTTGTTGTCTTTGCCACGCAGCAGGAGAAAAATCAGTTTTGTTCAGTCTCATTAAAATGTAATTCAAATCATTATCATTTCCAAAAGATTGTAGCAATATGAATATACCTGGGACTACCAACATACCTATGGTATTCATAAGACTTCTCTCATTTCCCAGAAAATGCTGACACAATTCCAACACATTCCAGAACAACAAACAGATCCTGGTTTGAATTTCTAGGATTAGGCATTATCATTATTTAAATTGTGGTGTAGTAATTGTGAGTTCAATCCCTGGGACAGGTAGTACAGACTAATTGAAAACAGAACAGACAATAACTGAGAATTAAACGAGAACAAGATGAGATATCTCTAGATAATGGATGGCAGAACAAGAACTATCCACTCTTGTAGATTAAATAAAGGGCTGTTTTTGTTTATCACCTTTCTTCTACTTAAATTAAACTACAGTTACTTTTATTCACCATTATTTCCAATGATTCATTATCACTTATCAGGCAGCTCTTCAGTATCTTTTGAGTAAAATTCTGTGGAAGTGGCATAGAATGTGGAACTAGAACAATCTACTCTAGTGATGTTCAGTTTTAAATTCCAGTTAACTGAAGAAGGCCGGAGCATACAATGGTCAGAACAATGTGAATATTGCAATAAAGATGACAGCAGTTCAAATAATGTAAATAATTGTTATGGGACCTTACCCATAATAACATAATGAACTATTCCATACATAATAAATACTGCGCCTCAAGAGGAAGCAGGGAGAGTTCAGTCTGAAGTCTGGAGTGAAGTCTGTCAGGAGTCTGTCAGTCAGTCAGAGCAAGTCAATCAGTCGAGTCAGAGGCAGTTCGAAACAGAGTTGTGTTCAGACAAGTACTACTAAACCTGATTGTTCGTACTAACAATTTCTACCTCTCTGTATATATTCATGTTTGTAATATATCTGTGTTATTCCATATCTGTATTCGAGTTCTTCTTTATTGGTTCTACCTTGGACTATCACCGAGGTACAAGGAACCGGACCATAACAATAATATAAATAATTACAATACCTCATCTCAGAAATATAGACAAAATTCTACAGGTTTTAATGTGCAAAAGTTTTTGACAACTTCTTAAATTCGGTTTTCATTAGAGAAAGTCTTCCTCCATCAAAGAGTTTTGTAGTGATTGAAAGTGGTAATTGTTCCACTGGGCTTAGGATGGAATGATAAATTATATGAGACTGGCTACTGGAAAGTTAGAGTAACACAAAGATGACATGAATTTAACAACCTTATTCAATCTTCCCACTAAATCCGTCTTGCTCCCAACATTCCCTAATAGTATTGGAAGTGCTTACAATCATCCTAATAATCAACATTATTGATGATGTTATAATAATAATAATTCTTTGGTGCAAGATCAGGTGAATATGGTGAATGGAATAGAACAGACCAATTATTAAAGTATTAAAACTTTTTCCTGTATTATTCTTGCTATATGCAGCCTTTAATCTGCTGTGTATGCTGCCACTACCATGCAAAAAACAATAGTATGTTAGTATACTCCAGATTTATTCTTAACTGCAATATGTAATTAGTAATTATATATTTGTCATTACAATTGGTTCCATACTCATTACTTATAATTCAACCTAATAGATTGCAAAAATATACGATAGAATTTCCATCAATGCTCCTAATTTTTATTAGTTCATTAAAATATTGTTTATAGCAAATAAAAATTCCATTAACTATCTAAGAGCATAGGTAATCCAAATACACCTTTTATATTTTACAGAGATAATCTAAAATATGTCTGCATAGAATATTTATAAAAGATAAGTAGATGCCAAAAGATTCAAAGTAATGGTTATCTCTATTTGACATTGCTGTTATATCTGGTTCAGTGTTCATGCTATATATTTTGAGATTCTTAATAAAATCCAAAGTTCGTAATGTTGTTGGACCAGCACTTTTCCACTGCCATCACATGGCTTCCCTCTGTCTTTTCTATAAATATTTTCATGGCAATTGTTCTGATGACCTTTTCTTTTTGGTGCCTTGATCACATGAATTTGAGTGCAGTACTATATCTGAGTCACTGTGGAGTAATGGATAGTGGCTCGGATTGAGGAATCAGAGAGCCGAGTTCAAATTCCAGTTGAATCCATTCACTTATGTGCTAATATCCTTGGGAAAGGTATGAATCTTCTTCTTCTCCCCCAGCTATGGGTAAATAGCAGGACAGACCGGATTCTGTAGCCTTGGATGGCAACTGGTCTACCATAGAAAGAAATGGCAACCTACTGAGGGAAAAAAAATCTTCCTCGTCAGTCATATATTGAAAGATACATGATCACCTAAGCATTTATCATGTATGGTACAAAACTGACTGACTATATCTAAATAAGTCTCATCCTTTTACTGTTAAAATAACCAGATCTAACAATAATAACCAGATCTAACCATAATAACCAGATGTAACCATAATAACCAGATGTAACCATAATAGTTCTATTCTATAATTTCTTCTCTTGCACTTCTTGTCTGTGGAATTCTGGTCCAGCTTTCCTGTCAAGCACAATCTCCAAAAAATTAAATGCAACATCGGTTGCCATCTTCTGTCTTTTTATTTTACTTTCTCCTCTGTAACGTTTTCTCATTTTACTTCACCTTGCAACTTAGTGGCATTATTACCTTGCTTGGGGAGAAATGATTAAAAACAAATTAACTTCGGATTACAAGAATTTCAATCCTTGCAGTTCTATAGTTTAACTACCCATATCATATCACAGTTGACGGGATTAATTTTTTTATCTTCCTACAGCAGATCTCTCATGTTTGTGTAGTAGTTTTACAGATTCATGTCAGCTGTTATTATCCTGAAATATGTTATGATTTGGCACCAATTTTGCAATACATATCTAAACCATATTTGCTTTGAGAAAATGGAGACATTGCATAAAAATAAAAGTCAGATTACAAAGAGGTAAAACCACAGATCAAATGACAGCATAATAATTGGCAAAACATTGTTTTAATAAGAAAATAATGAAATAAGTGCTAAAGTCAATTGTACTGATAATAAATGAGGTAAAAAGATCTAGGTAACTGATTTTTGTTTTAAATTAGAAGTAATGATGTATTTTTTACAACAATTTGTTTTTCATTAGTCACATCTAAAAATTTGTTTTGATACTAAACATAAATCCATAGACATGCTCTGCAATTTATATTTCAAATTCTCATGAACTTGGAGACATCGAGGATATGAGGAATTTTCTTTGCAGCAAAATAATTTTTAAAATAGGCAGAAAAATAAATGGTCAAGAAAAAGTTTTTAAAGAGTACCATGATGAAAAAGAAACAAAACAAGGTGAGAGAAGGAAGAAAGAAGAAAGAGAAGGGAGGAAAAGCAAAGAATAAAGTTAGGAAGGAAAAAGAATGAGTAGAGGAAAGAAGGAGTATGAAAGAGGAGGAAAGAATAATGTTAAGATGGAAAGGAGGATAAGATTGAGAAATAAGTAAGAAAGAAAAATGAATAAGTAGAGGAAAAAAAGAGTAAGGAGGAAAAGAAAAAAGTAATATTTGGATGGAAATGTAGATATGGTCAATAAATAAGTAAAATGAAAGAAAAAAATGAGTAGAAGAAGAAAAGAAAAGGATAAATTTTGGAAGAAATGGAGGATAAGATTGAGAAATTAAATGAAAGAAAAAAGGTAATAAGTAGAGGAAGAAAGCTTAAGTAGGAAAAGAAAAGAATAAAGTTAAGACAGAAAGGTAGATATGATCATAAAATAAGCAAAATGAAAAAAAAAAAGGAGGAGTAGAGGAAGCAATAGCAAGGAAGAAGAAAAAAGGATAAAGTTAGTAAGGAAAGGAGAATGAGAAATAAGTAAAATGGAAGTAGTTAATAATAGTGAAGAGTAGTGAAAATAAAGAAAGAATAAGGAGGAAAGCAATAATGCAAGAAGTAGAAAGTAAAAGATAAGATGGAGTAACAGAAATTAAGAAGTGATTGAAATAGATCAAAGTCCATGGAGAAAAAAAGCATAAAAAAGAAATATATATGGAAAGAAAATAGTGATGAGGAAAAGAAAGAATATGAAGATGGAATTTTTTTTTTGAAATCATTGATGGAAAAAGTGGAGGAATAATGGTATTTGACACTGAGGAAGAGAAGGGCATGATATTGTGCAAAAGAAGAAAGTCTGACTATAATAAAATCAGAAAATAAAATCTAGTTCCAAGACTAAGTTTGCAGATGAAGACTCTTGGGATTGTACAAAAGCATTCTTCATTAAGACTGAGAAATTCACTTTAAAAGATCATCAAAGAGAATTATTTGAAGTTGTCCATCAAAAACAATTGCAAGTGATGTGATATATGAGACATTTTAAGATACACATTGGGGATTGTCATCCCAGATGACGCCATGATCATGGGTTTATTTATATTCATAAGAGGAAAGAGTAGAAAAGAATTCTATTGATGATCATCTTCTTTTATGTGTCGCATCCCTTCAGGACGTGGGTGATCATGATTTGCTGCAACTTCCTATCCTTTGTAACACTTAACAATGTTTGTTACTTTTGCTATCTCTCCTAATCCCTATTCTACCATCCATTTAGATAATCTTGTTAGATTACTTGCAGTTTCCTTTTGACCCACTTGCCTTCAATATGCCCTGTGAGTGTCAAATTTTTCAAGCCTACTTTCTTTATTATGTGTCCTAAAACTTTCAACTCTTTGTAATTCTAAGTACAAGTGACCATTTTGTTTCCATTTTCCTTAAAACTTCCTTGTTGCCAACATGCTCTGTCCGTGGTATTCTCAGCATTTTTCTGTAGTATCACATTTTTATTGCCTCAAGCTTCCTTTTCAACTCTGAGGAAATTGTTCAGCATTCCCTACCAAATAGAAAAATTGATATAGCATAGCAATTCAGTACTCTTTTCTTTGTTTCCAATGAGAAGTTCTTGCATCTTAATACTTTGCTTAGTTTTTGGAAAGCATTTTTTTGCTATTCAAATGTGCATCTGGATTTTGGTGTCCCATTTTCTGTCATCTATTAAATATCTGCATTTGCTTGATTTTGACATCTCTAATTTGTACATGACATTAGGGAGTGTCCTTTTTGCTGACAACCATACATAAAGAGTAATAGACAGAGATGATATTTTTTCTTCTTTTATTTTGTTTGTGTGCATTTTTGTTTACTGTTCTCACAAACAGATAAAGAAGACAAGTCAGCACTGGTCATTTTGCTGCACAAAACAATTTTAAGAATGTTTTAAATTGTTGGTTGTTCAATGGTCAGCTGACAATGTAATTAGGACACAGAAGGAGCAGGAAGCATAAATGTACCTTTTGTATTTGATGATTAAGCTATCACTTTTAATTACTCATTTGAACAGTTTCCTGATATGGATGACAAAAAATGATTTGTTCATATAAATAGCAAGAAGGAACATTTCACTGACTGTTGTCATTAATCAAGTAAGTACTATTTTTATAATGGTTTTCAAAAGATATTGAAGATTCAGAGGAGTCTGCTGGTGATTTGTCAATGTTGCTGCTAAGGTAAATTGTAACAAATTGGAAATCCATCAGCAAAGTAGTTTCAAGTTTCCTTTGTTTTACTGAAAAGATTTCATTGTTTCAGAAAGTTTTCTTCATTTTAATTCAGTAAACAAAGTTTTCAATGCACAGATAATGTAACAGAAGTGTGTAAAATTCTCTAAGTCCCTTTTCTTCATTATGTGACCTAAAGGTTCCAACTATGTATGCAATTGCAATTAGGGAATGTTTTCAATGCACAAGTGGTGTAATAGATGTGTGAAAATTTGAAATAGTAAACTGAGATGAAAGTCTAGCTATTCATTTTGCTTTGATTGTATTTTATAGTTTAAAATAATTATCCTATTGCAGATTATTTAAAGTCAGAAAATATTTGTAGATTATAAGAATTTTTTTTGAGATAAAACTGGATTACTGATATAGGTCCTATTAATTAACCCATAGCTGTGAGGAGAAGAGGTGGATTCATGCCTTTCCCATGTAAGTGACTATAATGAAGCTCTCCAATCATTGCATTTTGCTCTTGAGAAAAACATAAACCATCTCCTGACTTCTATTTTTTTTTTGATTACTAACTAATCCCCAATATAAGGCTCAAGAGCCGCTCAAGATAGACGGTTGCTCTTAAAATAATTATGATGATGTGTGATATATGATGATTTAAGTACTGAAATTTCAACCTGTTCAGTTTTCTCTTGAAGACCAAACCAACAGAAATATTTATATCAGTCTCCCAATACTGAAAGTAGAGTGTTATTGAATGAGGTGCAAGATTTGAATATAAGAGGAGGTGAAAGGAAGTGAAGTTTATGATGATAAGGAGGATAGATAATGATTGACTTTTGATTTGATGTGGTTAAGATTGTAGTGTTCAGGTAAATATTCACATGAAAGTCTGTTCTAAAAAGTGATAGTTCTCAGGAAAAACTTTTTCTGAGTGAAAGTTTCTCCTAACAGAAGAATACAGAGGAAATAAGAGTGATTCAGAATGTCATATGTGGTGCCAAACCACTCAGAAATATTTAAACTGACAGGTATATAACGATATATAATCAATGGTTAAAATTGGCTTTGAGCAAGCAAAGACTTTGGGTTTTGGCAAAGACCATCCTTTATTTGAACTTTCTGGACTGGCACTAAAGAATCACAAAGAAGTTTACTAAATAACCAAAACCACATCACTTGAAGACTTGCAACAGCTAAAAGGGATAGTCCCATTTAAGAGAAAGTAATGATATAAATAAGATGTTGACATTCCACACTACTTTAAATAAAAGTTTAGAAAGGAAACCTCCCATCTATATAGGAAAGAACTATAACATTTAGTGGACTTTAGAAACCTATTTTTCTGAAAAATTGTTTTATTGAAAAGGTTTAATAAATTTCAACTGAAAATAGTACTAGCTGCTTGGTCAATGAATACAAAAATGTTTCCTTATTCATGTGCCTCTGCCACAAAATTTAACTAAGTGTGTTCATGTTGTTTGCATGCAAAAGGTACATTTGCCTTGGTAGTGTGTACACTTCACACTTAGCATATGATTTCTATTGGACCGGTCTGAAGAAATAGAAACAACATAGACTACATTACCTAAATCATTGGATACTGTATTAAACAACATTTTATGCCAGTCAGAGTGTCTGATGGCTGTAGATCTAGTTGTGCATGGAGGGGAGTAAGTCCCAATCTGTTTAATATTTTTTAAAACAATGCTTTGCATATTAAAAGCCCAGATGTGAAGAAATGGGTCTATAACATTCAACTATACTTTACCTCAGCTCAAATAAATATACTGTCAAATATAAAGAAGAAATCAATCCTTCATCAACCCTCAGAGATTGATTGATTGATTTGTTGTCAACCATTTGCAGGTTATTTAAAGACAGAAAGTATTTTTAGATTGTAAAATTTTTGGTGGGTGGAGGAGGCAGATAATACTGGTTTAGTGACATAAATTTTACTGATTATTCCATAGCAAGGAGAAAAGAGGTGGATTCATATCTTTCCAAAGGGTATTTGCACATAAGTGAATACAATGAACTCAACAAGAATTGGAACTTGGCTCTTAGATTAACAATTCCGAGCCATTATCCATTACACCACTTGCACATACAATCTAGCAGCACCTGATATTTACAAGTCAGAACTGACCAAGCTCAATGTTACTTAATTTATATTCCCAAGAAGAAATAGTAGGAAAGGATTGTATGGAGACTGGTGTTTAAACATGATGTGACTGTAATCACCCCTCAAAGAATGGTGCTATAAAATCACAAAGAACTATACTAAATAACAAAAATCACATCATTCTTCCAACAGTAGCAACAACAAAAATATGTAACACATGTAACTATAATATAAAATAATGATATAATCAAGATGTTGACTTTCCACACCATTGAAAAATAGAAATAAATTGAAAGAAAATTTCCATTTGTATTAGAAAGTGCTATAATAGTTTGTGAATTTGAAAAGTCTAACTACCAGAAAAACTGTTTTAATAAAAAAATAAGTTATATATTTCAAGTGAGAGTAACACAAACTGTTCAGTCAATAAATGCCAAATGTTTCCTGTATGGAAGCACATAATTTTACAATTATTTGGAATGTGTGTGTTCACAATTAAAGAAGCAGCATATGGACTGTTTATTCTTTTTTTTTTTATATAAACTTTAGGAAAACAAAGTTCTCAATGTCTCATGGGTATGTTAGCTTTCTTTTTCTGGTCCAGAAGTAAGGTTAAGTAAGAATAAGCATTATTATAATGGTCAAGCTCAAGTGAGCCTTGCACTGAGTTGGAACAACCAAAAAAATGTATTTACTGTAATGACCAAAGGAAAGCTTGCACTTACTTCATTTGAGTTTTGTCAAAACATGTCCAAATGCTATGCATTGAGAAGTAGAAATAGAGTATTTCTGTCCTTTCCAGAGATGGGGAGGTCATAAAATTGGACAGATAACCAAAAACCCTTTCCAGTTCCTTCATTATTAACATCATGGGAAAATGTATTTATTTTTTTTTTTTTTCTATATTATTTTATTTCATTTTCCTACAAAAGTAACACTAGTCTTTTTCTTGATGCATCCATTTTCTCTTTGTATCTGTCTATTGATTTACATTAGGTTACTCCATTTTTATATTGTTCTGATGATGATGTACATAAAACATCAAAATATTAACTTGTCACCATTGCTTGTTCATTGAATTTTGATTTCATACAAGTATGTGGTTATCAATATTTTATAAGTATTTCTTTCATCTTTATTCCAGTTGATTTTTAAACTAATAGTACTAGTGTTATGTTGTATAAATTTCTTAGATGAAATGTTGTCAAATATCAATTTTTTTTCTTTCATCTTAAATTCAGTTGGTTTTACAAGTATTAATCTTAAATTATCTGAATTTCTTAACCATTCAGTTAGTGAATGCTGAATATTTTCCATATGGAAACTTAATTTTCTCATTATTATTACCACTGACAATTCATCTGATATTTATAGAGATAGGTAGATGTAAGTTTGCCTGTCTTTTCTATAAATTCTTTTATGGTAATTGTTTGAATGAATTCTTTGTTTTCGTATTTAGATTTTTTGAATTTAAGCACAGTACTAGACTGGTGTCGAGATCTCATAAATTTACAGTTGAATTGACTAGATGTAACTGTAAATTCTATGCTAACAGTTTTTTTTCTCAAACTTCTCACTTGTAGAACTTCCTTCTGGTACCATGCTTTCCTACCAACTTTAATCTGCCAAAATTTAAATACAATATCAATTGCTATCTACTGTCCTCCTGATTACTCTTTCCTCTTCCTACTCATTATTAATGTTTCTGATCCTAGTTCTTCCACACCCTGTAACCCCTTGTGTCTTAGTGGCTGAACTGCCTTGCATGAGGGTGATACTGATAAAAAAAAGTATGATTTGACTAGTAAATTCTCTAAGTATTCATTTTGCATCAATTTTTGTAAAAATTACTGTTAGTAGCAAAGTAATTGATCCAAATATAATCAATTCTATTCATTTATTCCAATACTTCAAGCATTTCTATATTCAATGAATCCATTTAATGTTTAAACATTAGAGAAATAATGGATTATTTCAAATTAATTAATTATTTCATATTGTTTCAAATCAAGGCAATGAAGATCAAGTAATGTGCAACATGTAGCTTAAGTTTCTTTAAAAGAAAATAATTTGAATAACATTTTTTTAAAAATATTAATTAATGGTATTTGATACCTCAATTGTTAAAAGAAAGAAAGAAAAGAATTGCTATTCCTTCAGACTGTGTGTTGACTTGATCTGTGATTATACCATTTGAATCTCAAGGGAGATAACTTGAGACAAGTGGTGATGGGTATTTCAATTTGAATTTAAAATCAATGAATAACCCAGTTTAATTTAGGTTATGAAATACAGCAATAGATCAAAAGTTTGTCTTTATGCAATTAATCACAGTTATAAAGCAGTTCCCCATTTTTAAGTAAGGGTCAAAATTTAGTGTCATGGTCAAAGAATTTGGTTTCTAAGAAGGGGGATTTTAGTTCATTATTTGCTCAATATAAGGCGTCCCCTCAAAATTGGATGAATTTGACCAAGAAAAAAAATTCCTGCATCTGACTGCATTTGATATTTTACCAAAGAAAAAAATTCTAATAAATAAATTGCCTTGCATTGTA